GGGGGCCCGCCGCCAGCCCCGGGGGGCGCCGGTAGGGACAGGGTGGGGATGGGGGGGTCTGGAGGGCGGCGGGCCCTGTGCCGGTGTCCTCGGTACCGGTGTGCCCGGTCCCCGTGTGCCGGGGCCCCGTGTGCCGGGGCCCCCGCTGCGCTCGGTACCGGTGTCCCCTGTGCCCGGTCCCCACGTGCCAGGGTCCCCTCTGCGCCCGGTGCCGGTGCCCCTGGTTCCCGTGTGCCGGTGTCCCCTGTGCCCGGTACCGGTATCCCTGGTTCCCGTGTGCCGGTGTCCCCTGTGCCCGGTACCGGTGTCCCCTGTGCCTGGTACCGGTATCCCTGGTTCCCGTGTGCCGGTGTCCCCTGTGCCCGGTGCTGGCATTCTCGGTACCAGTGTCCCCAGTGCCCATGTCCCCAGTACCAGTATCCCCAGTCCCTGTGTGCCAGCGTCTCCGGTACTGGTGTCACCAATCCCTGTGTGCTGCTGTCCCCAAAACCAGTGTCCCCAGTCCCCATGTGCCATTATCCCCATGTGCCGTTATCCCCATGTGCCACTGTCCCCAGCGCCAGCGTCCCAGTACCGGTGTCCCTGCTCTGGCCCTGCCAGGACACCCATCGCCGCAGCCATGTCCCCCCGCCATCCCCAGGTCCCCGCGCCCCCGCTGCCCGCCTTCCCCGCCACCGAGGAGGATGACGGTGCCGACGCCGAGCCGGACACGCGGGCCATGGTGCGGGCCCAGAACCAGAAGAAGAAGAAATCCGGGGGCTTCCAGTCCATGGGTGCGTGCGGGGCGGGGGGCAGCCGCCCCGGGATGGGGACCGTCCCCTCCTGCCCGCGCCCCCTCACCTGTCCCCGTCCCCGCAGGCCTCAGCTACCCCGTCTTCAAGGGCATCATGAAGAAGGGCTACAAGGTGCCCACCCCCATCCAGAGGAAGGTGAGCGCGGGGCGCGGTGGGACCCCCGTCCCGGGGTGGTGGCAGTGGGACGGTGACGGTGACGGCGGGGCGGTGTCTCGCAGAGCATCCCCGCCATCCTGCGCGGCCGGGACGTGGTGGCGATGGCACGGACGGGCAGCGGGAAGACGGCCTGCTTCCTCATCCCCATGTTCGAGCGGCTGAAGGCGCCCAGCCAGGCCGGGGCACGCGCCCTCGTCCTCTCGCCCACCCGTGAGCTGGCCCTGCAGACCCTGAAGTTCACCAAGGAGGTACAAGGGGGGACAAGGGGGACAACGGGGGTGAGCGGGGACAACGGGGGGAAGGGGTTTGGTTTTAACGCCCTGCTGACATGTTTCTTTCTCACCCCGCAGCTGGGCAAGTTCACAGGCTTGAAGACAGCCCTGATCCTGGGAGGAGACAAGTAAGCTGTCCCCACGTCCCCACCGGTCCCCACTTCCCTAAAGCCTCCCCAAAACCTGGTGAGGGGCTGAGCTGCCCCGTGCCGCCCAGCGCCGCCCCAGCCTCTCCCCCCTTCTCGCAGGATGGAGGACCAGTTCGCCGCCCTGCACGAGAACCCCGACATGTGAGTGGGGACACAGGGAGGGGACCGGTGGGGAAACGGCCCCTGAGAGCCACCCACTGTCTGGGGACATCCCTGGTGTTTACAGCTGCTGTGCTTGATGGACGTGTCCTGGTGTTCCCTTGGAGCATCTTCCTGTGCCCCCCATGGGGGTCTCTGTTGGATTTTCTTTGGGTTGGATTTGGGACCTGCACCTGGGATGGTGCGGGGACGCCGTGTCCCCCCCGATCCAGTCCTGTCACCAGCTCTGTCCCCGCAGAATCATCGCCACCCCCGGGCGCCTGGTGCACGTGGCAGTGGAGATGAAACTGAAGCTGCACACCGTGGAGTACGTGGTGTTCGACGAGGCCGACAGGTCAGCGGGGCGCAGGGGGGTCCCTGGGGCTGGCGGTGTCCCCGCGCACGGGGTGAGCGACGGCGGGAGCGAGGTGCCCTAGGGGGTGGCAGGGCTGGGCACGGAGGGACCGAACAGGCGCTGCCACGTCCCGTGTCCCCTGCCCTGCAGGCTCTTCGAGATGGGCTTCGCCGAGCAGCTCCAGGAGATCATCGCCCGGCTCCCGGACTGCCACCAGACCGTCCTCTTCTCCGCCACGCTGCCCAAGCTGCTCGTCGAGTTTGCCCGGGCTGGTGAGGAGCGTGGGGCAGACAGCGGCTGCGGGGAGCCTGGGGATGGGGACACGGCACCGTCCCGCAGCGGGGCTGGGCCCAGGACTGGCGAAACCGAGCTGGGTTAATGCTGGGCCGAGTGGGTGTCCCCAGGCCGAAGGGTGGGGCTGGTCCCAGTAGTGCATCCCACCTGCGACCCATGTCCTGCGTGTCACCACATCCCACAGGTCTCACCGAGCCCATGCTGATCCGTCTGGACGTGGAGTCCAAGCTGAGCGAGCAGCTCAAGGTGAGAGGGGCCAGGGGGACTCGAGGTGGGCTTTGTGCCCCCTGCCCACTGCAAGCCACCCTGCGGCGGCTCCAGGCTGGCGAGGAGGGGACAGGAGGGGTGGCCATGTTGGGCGTGGGGACGCAGAGGGGCTGAGCTCTGCCCTCCCTTTGCAGCTGGCTTTCTTCCACGTGCGCGGGGACGACAAACCGGCCGTGCTGCTCCACCTGCTCCGGAGCGTGGTGAAGCCCCAGGACCAGACGGTTGTCTTCGTGGCCACCAAGCACCACACGGAGTATCTCAAGGAGGCAAGTGGCAATTGGGGGTGCCCAGCACGTACCCCTGTTAAAGGGCGGGCTGCCGGGGGTGCCTAGGAGCCCTTTCCACACCCACACGGGGTCTGCATCTGTGGGCACGTCCCTGCTGGAGTCTCTGCCTCTGTTTTGCTGGGTTGAAGAAGAAATCCCAGCATGCATGATCATGGAGGTGCTGCATCCACCTTCCCCTGGGGGAGCGCAGTGGGATTTGGGGATCCGAGTGGGCACCCTGGGGTCTGTGCCTTGGCTGAGGGTGCGTGCCCAGGTGGGATCTGATCTCTCTTCTCCCCTCCCCAGCTGCTCACGGCCCAGGGCATCCGCTGCACACACATCTACAGCTCGCTGGACCAGACCGCCCGCAAGATCAACATCGCCAAGTTTGCCCAGGGCAAGTGCCCGGTGCTGCTGGTCACCGACGTGGCCGCCCGCGGGCTCGACATCCCCATGCTGGACAACGTCATCAACTACAGCTTCCCCGCCAAGGCCAAGCTCTTCCTGCATCGTGTCGGTGGGTGCCGGTGCCCCGCGCAGGGGTCTTTGCAACCTGGGGGTCCCTCAGGGTGCCAGGGAGGGTGTGGGTGGGCTGTCCCTTGTCCCCTGTTTTTCCCATCCCTGTGCTCGCTGGGCTGGCACTGATGCCCCTGACTTGGCGGTGATATCTTTGGGGCAGGAGGTCACCGTGTTGTGACACCGGGAGACAGGCGGGGGACAAAGCAGGGGCAGGAATGTCCCTGATTTCCCAGCTGGATCTGCGGGGGCTCTTGGGGGCAGGGCTGGCGCCTTCCCTTCAGGATGGCACCGTGGTGGACTCCCCTTTGCCCCCTTCCTCAGCAGCCCACGCCCCCTGCCAGCCGTGCCCACCTGGTAAATGCCACGTGCGTGGGCTCCCAGGGGCACCAGCGGGTCCCTGCCCGGGTGGCGGCAGGCTGGGCTGGCACTGCGTCTGGTTTCCCACTCTCCTCCTCCCCTTGCCAGGTCGCGTGGCCCGTGCTGGCCGGAGCGGCACTGCCTACTCGCTGGTGGCTCCCGACGAGATGCCCTACGTCTTTGACCTCCACCTCTTCCTGGGGCGCCCGCTCATCCTCGCCGGTGCCCAGGAGATGCCCGCTGGTAAGGGAGACCTGGTTGCAGGCATCGGGGTGGCTGCATGTCCAAGCTGGGGCACTGGCCACGTGGCCGCTGTGGTTTTATCCTTGGCCAGTGCTGGAGTTCGTGGTCTTGTCGTTGGCATCCGTGCAGAGGGGCGATATGCTCTCATTACTGGGGTGCAGCTGGGGATAACGAGGTGCCGGGGGCTCTGGTGTGTTGGGGATGCTGATTTAACACCACCAAGCTCCCTGTGGCCGGTCGCTCTGCTCTGTTAAACCCTGGATTGCTGCCGTGCCCGCTGCAACAAGCCCAGGGTGGGTGCTGGCGAGGTGACACGGTGTCCCCTGGGCTGCAGATGCCGGCGGGGTCCTGGGCCGCGTCCCCCAGAGCCTGGTGGATGACGAGGAGTGCCTGCTGCTGACGGACCACGAGGGCTCGCTGGAGCTGCGGAGCCTGCGCCGCGTCGCCGACAACGCCCACAAGCAGTACCTGCGGTCCCGGCCTGGCCCCTCGCCCGAGTCCATCAAGAGGGCGAAGGACCTGGATGTGTCCCAGCTGGGCATCCACCCGCTCTTCAGTGAGTGCCTCGGGGATGCCGAGGGAGGGGACCCCCTTCCCCTCGCCACGGAGCTGATCCATGCCCCTCTCTGTGCCCGCATTCCCCAGGCGCTCGCTTTGAAGACACCGAGCTGGAGAGGCTGAAGTTCGTGGACAGCATTAAAACCTACAAGTCCAAGGCGGTGAGTTGAGACCCGGCCTCGGGCACGAGGCGCCTGCGTTGGGGCGGGAGGGAAGGTCCGTGCGGCCAGCCGTGCCGCTCACGCTCGCGCCCTGGGAGCAGACCATCTTCGAGATCAACGCCACGTCCCGGACGCTGGCCAGCACCGTGATGCGGTCGAAGCGGCGCCACGACCGTGCCCTCATTGAGAAGTTCCAGCGCGGGCAGCAGGAGAAGCGGGCAGCGGCTCTCAAAGGGCAGGGGCTGGCCCCGGCCCCCCCTGGGCCCGAGGGGGGAGAAGGAGAGGAGGAAGACCTCCAGGTAACGGGACAAGGATGGGGGGAGTTTGCTGTGGACGTGGGAGCTGCTGCAAGGCGGCCTTGGCTGGATGCTGGCAGCACCGGGGCCCCCAGGCTGTGCCAGGCCTCGGGGGCTGGCGCAGTGACTGGTGGGGGGACACGGCTCCTCCACCCCGTCCCCCATCTCCTTCCAGGCCGTGTTCTCCACCGTGGTGGGCCAGAAGCGAAAACGGGGTGGAGGGGGAGAAGACGGCGCCAGGAAAAAGCCGCAGCAGCCAACGCAGCGGGACGAGGACTTCTACATCCCGTACCGGCCCAAGGACTTCGAGAGCGAGAGGGGGTGAGTCTGAGAGGGCTCCCGCCGCCATCCTGCCCCGGGGGCTGCTCTCATCGCCCTCCCTTTGCAGGCTGAGCGTGGGCGGCGAGGGCAGCGCCTTCGAGCAGCAGGCGGCCGGAGCCGTCCTGGATCTCATGGGTGATGAAAACCACAACCTCAACAAGAGCAAGCAGCTGCTGAAGTGGTGAGTGGGGTCCGGCCATGGGGGGAGGTGGGGGGGGGGAAATCAGGGCTGGGGTTCCCACCGCCCTCCCCTCTCTCACAGGGACCGCAAGAAGAAGCGGTTCGTGGGGCAGACGGGCCAGGAGGACAAGAAGAAGGTGCGGACGGAGAGCGGGCGCTACATCAGCAGCTCCTACAAGAACAACCTGTATCCTGCCTGCCTGCGCTGCTGCCTGCCTGCGCCGGGGCGAGGAGGGGCGGGGCCGGAGCCACCGGCAGCTGCACGATGGGCATCGTGCCCTGCTGCCGGGGATCGATCCCGTGCTGGGGCAGTGGCGTGGGGAGGGTGGCAGGTCAGGCGCTGCGGTGGGTCGAGCGATGGGGAGTGACCGCGTGCTCCCTTAACCCACCCTGGCCCAGCTATGAGAAGTGGAAGCAGAAATACAAGGTTGATGAGCGGGACGAGGACGAGGACGACGACCGAGGCAGGGAGCAGCAGTTCAGAGGGAAGCACAGGCGCGGGCACGGTGAGTACCTGGAGCAAGCGATGGAGCTCCTCATCGCGCCCCCGCCACCTCGCTTTGGCCTCCAAGCTGAGCTTGGCTGTGTCCCCCCCGCAGGGCCCGGGCAGCCCCCGGCCCGGGGCAGGGTGCGCTCGGAGCTGAAGAACAAGCAGCAGATTCTGAAGCAGCGCAAGAAGGCGGCCAAGCAGCGCTTCCTGCAGAGCGGGGGGCTGAAGCGCCTGAAGGCCAGGAACCGGCAGCGGGTGCAGGAGCTGCGGCAGATGGCCTTTGGGCGCCGGGCGGGGGCTGCGAAGAAGGGCAAGCTGCGGAAGAGGGTGTAGGGGAGGGGGCCGTGCCCCAGCGGCTCCCCCCACGCCTGGGCTGGCTGCCGGGGAAGGGGACATTAAATACGTGGCTGGTTTTGCAGCCTGACTCCTCTTTGTCCTTGCCGCGAGCATCGTGCCCGGGGTAATTCCTCCCCGCCTTGGGCCACCCCCAGGCGCAGCCCTAAAACAAGCGGGTGCTGCGGGTCCAGGGCTGGGTTATATTTTGACAGGAGACGCCTTTGGAGATACCAACAGCCTGAATGCCAGCAGCCGCCCCCCCCCTTCCTCTGCGGCAGCCGGGTCCTGCTGCCTGGGGCGCCCCTGGCAGGGGGCACCCCGGGGGTCGGGCTCTGCCCCAGCCCCTGCCCCGATGCGGCGCCATCCCAGGGTGGCTGTGCCGCTGCGTCCACGCTGCCTCTCGTGGGGGTTCCCAGACTTGGGGAGTGATCTCCATCCCCAGGGGGGTGCCGGGGGTCCTGCGGCTCCACGGGGGCCATGGCAGCCTCTCCCCAGCCCCGGGAGCGGGCAGTTGTCCCCCGGGGGCTATTCCTGGCTCGGAGGCACCCTGGCACCGCGGCGACGCAGCGGGCGCACGCTGGTAGCAACGGGCAAGCGTGGAGGATGTAGCCCCGGCCGCCTGGGGCGCAGCTCGGCACAGATGGCAGCCAGGTCTTGCATGCAGAGCAGCACCTGCAGAGACAGGGACCTTGATGCCACAGCCATCCGGGGACACAAATGTCCCCGTGTGCCACCCAGGGGAGAGGGCTGCGCTGACCGTGTCCAGCTGGGCCTCCGTGTCCTCTGGGGCCACCTTCGCGGGGACGCTGAGCCGCGCGGTGGTGAGCTGGAAGAGGTTCAGCACTGCCAGCTTGATCCGCCCCAGTAGCAGGGTCTTCTGCGTGGCCGTGCTCTGGATGTGGGCCCACTGGGACTCCTGGGGGACAGAGAGCACTGGGCACAGCCCAGCCACTGCCCCGTGGCCCCTGCACCCCCCCGGTTGGGACAGGGGGACGCGGGAGGCCTGGCTGCGCCTGTCCCCCGTGCACGCCTGCTGCTGATGCTTTCTGGGCATTTGGGGACCCCCAGCTCAGCCCAGGGGCTGCCGCCCGGCTTCCCACCACCACCGCGTTGGCCCTCTCCCCTCTGCAGCACGCTCAGGGCCCGTAGTGCTGCGCCTCTCCCTGGGGGGGTCCTCGGGCACCCCACGTCCCCCCTTACCGCCTGGAGCGCGTCACAGCGGGTGGCCTCCAGCTGTGCACGGAGCTGGGCCAGCTCGTCGTTGGTGCGCAGGAGCTCGCTGCCGGCCGCCTCCTGGTACTGCCGGAGCCGTGCCCAGCCCCGGGCCAGCCG